GCCTGAAAAAAAAAAAAAAAAAAAAAAAACCTGGCGAGTTTTGGCCTCAACAGTTTTTTCGTGTGTACCCCCTCAACCTGATCGGCCCCGGTTGGACTGGCCTGGCACAACAGGGGCCGTTTGCTGGCCCACCCCAGGTTGAAATATGTCGTGCTAACCTGCCCTGATACCAGGTTGACACCATGTCCCGCAGACTCCCTCTAACCTGCCCTGAAACCATGTGCCACTACCAAGGTTCAAACTGCACCCCTCTAACTTGACCTGCCCCAGCAGCAGGTTTAAACAGCGTCCCATAACCTGCCGCAGTACCACACAGGAGCAGCGTTTTGCTCTTGTGCCTATTGTGTCTTTCACCGACAGGTGTTGGCACAATTCGTGGTCCTAGTTTTCTTTGCAGGGAGTACCACCCATTCAAACCCGTCAATGAACTCTCACCCTCTGCCAAGCACCGCTCCCGGCTTATTTCCATATCATCCGCACGTACCCCCCCCTCCCTTCCCTTTCCTTCCTCCGTGGTCCTACGTTTATTCGCGGGGAGTACCACCTATTCATCCTGTCAGTGAACTTGACCTTCTGCCAAGTGCTGCACCCAGCTTATTCCCATGACACCCCTTATATTTCTACCCCCAACCCCCCCCCTCCTCCCCCCTCCCTCCCCACCTCCCAGTCCTCGCTTGTTTCCTGAGGAATACGAAGAAAGGCGCATTAGCTGTTTAACAACTAACCCCTTCCCACCTTTGCAGGTAACCAAACGTGCAGTGAAGCACCGATAAGTACCACTGCCAGAAGAATGCTTATCATCATGAGCCTGCAGCCTTCTCTAGCTATGGTAGAACAGACGTGCGGCCTTCTTTCCATCAACTGGGATCACTATTAGACCTTATAGCAGTGTGGCAAGCTATATGCACGTATACGTATGTGTGGCTATCGCTATCACCATATATAGCTATAACTGCAGGGCCACATTTATATACCGGTTCGTGATTGGTGCAGAGTGGTATTGGGTTCAGGAGGGTGTGTGGCCATTGGTGGGCTCGATAGGTTGGCAACCGGAAGTGGAAGTGGCACCATAGCTAAAGCTCGAAGTTGAGCGAGGAAGAAGAAGTCTCCTGTACTTGACGAAACTCTGTAAATAATTGGTTCGTGCGTGTTGTAACGTGGTTGGGATCCCAACCACAGAATTTTGTGCGGTGCTGATTGCGTTGGACAGAGACGCTATTACTAAGAGTTGACCTTAGTCAATCCTTTTTTTTTTTCTTTTTTTTTTTTTTAATTTGGACCATTTCTCGATTTATGCGTGTCATCCTTGCGCAGGGGTCATGCTAATCTTCTCTTTCTCTGTATCGTTCCAATTTTAACGGATGTCCCGAAGGACGACCTTAATCAATTCTATGCTTGGTTTTCGGAGCTTCCGCTGTGTATTCTCATCATCTGGTTTGGTGTGGATTGCTCTCTCCAAGTCTACTTGTCATTGCACATGTGTATGGGAACGAGTGAATGTCATGCTGGCTTTGGTTTCAATCAGGCGCATAACAGCCATGCATACGTGTGGCTATATAGACCACATATAGCTATTTGTGAGTAGACCTAGCTCTACTTATATATAGAATTAACATACAAAGCACAGTGGCAATAACCCACAGCCATAGCCATAGTCTGACTCACAGCCATAGTCACAATGGCTGTGAGATGTGTGGCTATAGCTAGCCATACAGAGGTATGTGTGTGACTACAGGGCCACACACACACACACATATGTGTGGCTATATAGCCACATATAGCTATTTGTGACTACCTTCTTCACCCGAAAACAACGCAGGGGGTCGTTATAGCCGTATTTAGGCCAAAAGATGCCCCAAATACAGCTATAATGACTGTGCGTTGTATTCGGGGGAAGAAGGTAGACCTCGCTGCACTTACTTAGCATACAAAGCCAAGTGGCGATCGCCCACACCCTTAGCCATAGCCATAGCCATAGTCACAATGGCTATAGCACTAACTTATCAATGTCACAGTCATACCTCTAGCCATTCCCTGACTTGTAGGCATATAGTTACACTGGCTATAATCCCTGGCCATAGCTATAGCCATTGCCGTTGCAGGATTCATAGACGAGGTCATAGCCAAGGCCCGAAGCAAACCATTGCTGTAGCCACAGCCATAGCCACAGCCAAGGGCTCATCCCTCACTGCCACAGCCTTGGCCTAAACCCCTGTCTAGAGCTGCACATAACCATACAGCTAGTCGTACGCATCTCGTAGACATAGCCATGCTGCTAGGCAGAGGCTATAGACACAGCCAATGCTGCTAGGGACAGCTTATAGACAGGGCCCAATAGACAGCTTATAGGCTACACATAACCATACAGCTAGCCCTACCTGTAGCAATTGCCATGCGTACAGCTTATTAGAAACAGTCGTGCTGCTACCGTCGTCCCGCGAACATAATGCACCCTGAAAACGAATGTATACAAGGGATGTTTCCAGCCCGATACAGTCAAAATGAGGGTGCGTTGTGTTCGGGGGACGACGGTAGGCAAGGAGTATAGACATAGCCAATGCTGCTAGGGACAGCGCACAGACAGACACATAGCCATGCTGCTCGATGCTACTTGGAGCCTGGCAGTCTCTGTTGTTGCAGTTTGGCTGTGGTGAAGACAACGCCGGCGGCGAGGCCAAGAGCTATGCTGAAGATGTTGGTGATTGGCATTTTGGTGGGAAACAGGGCCACTCCGATAACCGAAGTCGGGATCTTGTTGAGCGAGCCCACTAAGCCAAAGGTTGTGGGGCTAGTGCAGTGCAAAAACCACATAACAGCGAAGCAGAGACACGCGCCAAGGACCCCTGTCAACGTGGCGGCCATCCAGAAACCTGCATCCTTCGTCAACGGCAACGACGCGAGCACCTCTACTTCTCCCGCTGCCACCACCAAAGCCGCCCCGATCGGAAGGGACAAAACATTGTTTAGCATTACCATCGTGACTTCTCCAAGTCTTCCTGTGCTCGTCAACTCCTTGGCCGTGTCCATCGTGTGCCGCAGGTACAAGCAATACCCGGCTGTCAATACACAATTAATCATCTGCCACGTGTACCCTGTCAGAGTAAAGGTGAAGTCGGTCACCCCTCCTCCTACCGAGGAGAGTATGATCAACCCTAGCGCCGACCACACTCCTGGGCTATGGCGTTTTCCGTAGATCGCAGTCTCGCCCGATGCCGTGATGACATTCGTCAGGTTCTTGAGCACGGTGACCATCGGCACCGTCAAGTACTTGAGACTGTACAGTCCCGACGCTATCATCCCGACAAACAGACAGTTGACTGGCAACCAGACCTTGCACAAACGCCACGTCAGCGGCTCGAGCTCGTACCAGCCGCAGCTCTCACCTATCAGAATGACTAAAACACTGACCAGGCTTTGATAGAGTAGGAGACTAAAGGTTCCGGGGAATCGGTATCCCGACAGCACGGCCTTGTTGAGCAGAATCATCCCACAAGACAACGAGCAGTACAGCAGTCCGGACAGAATGGGCGCATGTCGTTCTACAACCTCGCGCCCGCGTTTTTGAAACCAGATTGACGGATCGTCGATTAATAAAAGTAACTCATCAACTATGGCTATGGCAGATCGACCCCACTTAGGGGGCTTGTAAAGGGGACTTCTGCCGTTCTCGGCCACCCCTCCTCCTGCTTTAAGAATTCCTCCTCCTACTGCTTTTCGTTCTGTTCCTATCGGTGTTCGATCTAACTGCAGCAGACGTGTTGTTTCTTTGTCGCCGTCGTCGTCGTCGTCCTCCTCCTGCTTGGCCATTCTCCTGAAGCCATCTTCCCTCTGTTCTAGGCAGCCACAGCCGCTGCCCTCCGACCCAGCTTCATCTACATCTCCTCCAGCCAGTGTCAGTGTAGCCCCGCCATTCTCCCGTCTATCCATCCCAACCACAAAACTAGAATTCCGCATCCCGGATTCCAGATCCGGACCATTCGGATCACTCCGTCTACCATCTCCTCCTCGTCGCCGTCCGCCGCCTCCTCCTCCTCCTCCTCCTCCTCCTCCTTTTCCTCCCCCTTCCTCTCCTGTTCCTACTACTACAGCTTGTCCACCGTTGACCACGAAGCTCACATTACTCCCATCTTCCCCCCTCCTTTCGGCATCAGTTGACATGTTATCCATTAATCAAGCGAGTGCTGATCGAACTCAAACCCTCCCTCGCCCCGCCCCCTCCCCACGTCACACTTCTTCCCTCTGAGACCCGTGGCCCTTAACGCCACCCAAGGCCACTACTTCTATACCCACGTTCTTCTCCAATGGGTCCTCCCACACTCCCACCTACCTGCAACAGAAATTGAAAAACGGGCAAGGCAATAGAATTGAAAAGGCTTTAAATAAGTACATTTGGGACACCCTGCTCAGGACACTAATTAACAGCAGCCGTACTCTAATTAAGCTGAGGGATGCATTATGAGCATAATAATAAGCGCTGGATATGCTTTCATTAATCAATCAACAGCACATTAATGAATCGATCAATCAATCAAGCGGGGGTACTACATACTAGGAAAACGAAAGCTACGTTTCAGTTCAATCCCCAATCAATCAACCAAGCAACCAACCAATCAATCAACCAGCCACCAAATCAATCCTATTACTTTCCAGCTCAATCCCCAATCAATCAATCAATCAATCAATCCACCAACCACTCAACCAA